GTTGATTTATCAAATAAAAAAAAGAAAAAAAAAAAAAAAAAAAAAAAAAAAAAGAAAAGGGCATGAGGCTGAGAATTTGATCTCTTGCTGTCTCACCAAGTGACACCTCCCACTGTGTTATAACCCAGCAAGAAGGTTCTCAACAGACATGGTCTCTTAATTTTGAACTTCCCAGCCACAAAGCCAAATAAGTTTGTTCATTATAAATGACCCTAGTCTGTGGTAGTATCAAACAAAGACAATATCCCAGATATGAAACCCAATCCAGTTTCTCTGTAGACTCCTATCCATTAGAATCAGCTCTCCTCACCAGAAAAACTGAATTAGTCTAGTCCCTTTTTTATATTTCATGTTTGGCCTTTCAACCCATTAGTGATGGGTCTAGCATTCTCCTTCCTTCCTTCCTTCCTTCCTTTCTTTTTTTTTTTTTTGATAACTATATCCAGAAAATCAAAAAGTACTTGGAAAAAGCTCATACAAAACATTTTAGCTTCACTCAATTCAACCAAGGTTTATCAAGTCCTAGGTAATGTCCTAAGTCCTGCGTACAAAGAGCAACAAGACGAAATCTTTGTCCCGAAGGAGTTTACAATAAAGTGGGAGACAAGTGTGCACAGAGATAAAAGCAGTCTATTAACAGCCAAGTGCTAACACAGAGATATGTCCAAACAAGATTAGAGAACAAGGAAGGGACCAAGACAAAATCCGCACATAGACAATATTAAGGTGAACACAGTTGTTGAGGTCACTAACTTGGATTCAAATTCTTAAACTGTAAATTCTACATAAATTGGTAAGTAATACTTAAATGTAAACAAATTGTGATGAGTCTTAGTGTCTACATAGACAGTAACAAGAGACTGAAAACAAAATATACATTCATATTCAGAAACACTGAGTACGCAGTTAAGCAGTACATATTTGCTAAATAAGATAAGTTATTCTAAAACATACCTTAGAGTCAATGCCACTATAAAAATCTCTAAAGGAAAAGATTAATTTTCCCAGTTTTTAGGTATGAAATGGTGTGTGCTAAAAGAAAATGATTTGATACAATATCCAAGAAGTATTATCATTCAATAATGTATGGTTTTCATGAAAATTCAAAGAACTAAAACATGAATATTCAAGATTCCCAAACAATACTGAGAACAATTCATTGGTGAAATGTTAAAGTTTCTTTTCATTAACCAAGAAATTTATTAAAGATAGACTTTCTTAAGTTGAACTTTATTAAAAGTGTTATCTTTAGGGCCGGGGATTTACCACGCCTGCCTTGCAAGTGTAAGGCCCTGAGTTTGATCCCCAATACAAAAAAAAAGTGTCTTTAAACAATTTTAATATGAGAAAATGAACAAATGGAAATAAAGCATCTGTAAATAGGGAAGGGAGGAGGGGGTGAAGGGAGGGCAAGGACAAGGGAAAAAATAAGAACCAAGACTTGTCACATAAAGGTACAAGATCCCAATGATGAATGTAACAGTACTGTATACCTACAATGTACCAATAAACTCAATGAGAGAAAAAAAATAAACAATTTTAAACTATTACATGTAATTAAAAAGAGAGAGATTAAAACTTCCTTTGACTGTACAATATTGTGTAAATTCCAAGGAATTCCCTGAATATTTTCCCTTCAACTAATAACATTTGTTTAGCACTATAGTCAACAGCAAAGGAAACTGAAGACTGGCTTTATGTGCCTTGTCACAACGTATACACACAAGATAATTCTAGATAGTTCTCAAAAAATTTGTGGGCTCAGTTTCAATAGAAACCAGATAAAGAATAACATAACAATGCTTATTTGTCTCAGATTTATTTTTTAAACCACTTGGTTGCATTGGCTGATTTATTTATCTTGTCGGCAGTACTGATGATTGAATCTAGGTCTTGGGAATGCTTGGCAAGAGCTCTATCACACAGCTACCTACAGCCCAGCCCAGTCTCTCCTTCATCATTTTTAATTTCTTAGTTACAAGGGAACATTGTCAGTCCACACCTGGTCATTTAGTCCCTCCGAAGTAATATTGAGGACAACAGTAAGAAGAAATATTTTAGAATCAACTGGAGAGTTTTCCAAACTGTACCCCACCCCCATCACCATCATAGAAAGCCAAATCTTTAAAAGTGTGTTGCAGACTTAATAACAAGATTGCAATCAAGGTTTAACTAAAACTGAATTTAGAAACATTATTACAAGGGCTACTAAATAGTTTTCCAGAAAGAGTAAGGAGGCCAAATGTAGGGCTTCTGAAAATATCCATGTCTGCAGAGATTCAGGATTCAGTTTCTGCAGTAAGTCAAGAAACCAAAGGCAAGTTTTTTTTTGTTATTGATTTTCTGAGAAAGGATCTTACTATGTGATTCATGCTGGCCTTGGACTTACCATGTATCCAGGTTGGCCTTGAACTTAAGGCAATTCTCCCAACTCAGCCTCCCAAGTGCAGGCATTACAGGTGTGTGCCACAACATAAAGCTCAAAGACAGTTATCTTCATCACATCTATGTATAAGCAATGCACTTTCAATCACTTACCCCCAATATTCTGAATTATTATGGTGCCTGCCACCACCACCTATAAAAGAACAAATATATGCAGAAGATGAGTGGAAATAATAGAAAAGGTAAGTATTTTATTAAAATCCAATAATACTACAAAACAGATACCCAATTGAGTGAAAAAATTTTAGTTTCTTTATAGTTTTCTTTAATAAAATTTGCCAGCTATTTGTAATACATAAAATTAATAAACATCACATAAAAAGCCTTTAGTAATTCCACAATTACTATAAAGAAAAGTTTTGAAATTGTTCTTGGCAGCCAGTTTTGAACAGTGAAGTGTTAAAGGCTAGTGTAATCAATGGTTATCAAAATACAAAAAGTTGAAAATCGATCATGGGAATCTCATGATCCCTTTCTTCCTGGTTTTACTATACTGCAAAAGTAGGTAAAACAAGATAGCTGGGGATATGCTTTGCCAATTCTGTGCTGCCTAAAAGGAAATGATACAATCTTTTGAGTGTATCAGCTTGGCATGCACCTAGCCTTTGAGCCTAGAGAGAAGAAAACTGGAAAGTTGCAACCCAGCTACAGAAATGGAAAATAAATAACTCTTCATGCAGAGTGTGTTGTCGAGTATGATTGGCTGATATGAATGGTACAAGTTAAAATTATGTAACTACTCTAGAATTTAAGGAAAAGGAGACTCAAAAAATCCATTTATTCATTCACTGGTACTGGAGATTGTATCCAAGCCTTTGTAGTGAGCTGTATACTCCCACACTGGCCAGTTTTTGAGATAGGCGCTTGGTAAATTGCTGAACTGCCCAGGTTAGGCTCCAACTTGTGATCTCCTTCCTCAGCTTTCCAGAGGGCATGATTACAAGTGTGCGTTATGAAGCCCAGCTTATACTCTTTTAGACTGATTTTCAGGAAATACAAAAGTGAAATGACAGTGACAGCAGTGAAGACACCTAGATTTATCTTTATGGATCACATTGAAAAGGGATTTTTCTTTTTTCTTTTTTTTTGTACCAGGGATTGAATTCAGGTCCTTGCACTTGCAAGGCAGGCGGTAGAACCACTGAGCTAAACCCTCAGCCCGGAACTTTTCTTATACAGTAACATCTTCTTCTTCTTTAATAAAATACATGTAGGAAAACAGTCTGTTTTGATCAAGTTTTAGGTTATTCAGGTCTAAGTCACAAAGCTACCTGGTTCATTATTTAAACATTTCTTTTTGTATTTTAAAAAAGCAAAGTTAATTGGAATATATATACAAGGGTTTTTCCTCATTATATAGCTGTGTCTTTTTCTTCCCAGATTCACTCTTTAGAAATTAGTTTAGCCATCTACAGTATGGTAATGTTTTAGAGTAAAAACAAAAGAGGCAACGTATATATTACTTAGCTCAATTAATCCATCGCATAATGTATACATTTTAAAATAACATGCCATGCATAATAAAAACAATTTTTGGTTTTCAACTAAAAATAACTAAAAAGCAGTAAAATGCAAAAGCACTTACAAACAAAAATTCCCTTTTTGAACTAAAATAAATATGAGTTTTAAAAGTATGGTATCTCGGAGGAGGGGGTGAAGGGAGGGCAGGAGTAAGGGGAAAAATGAGAATCAAGACTTGTCATATAGAGGTACAAGATTCCAACAATGAATGTAACTGTACTGTATCCCTAAAATGTATCAATAAACTCAATTAAAGCTGAAAAAAAAAAAGTATGGTATCTAAAAAAAAAAAAAAGAAAAATTATTATAACATTAATAGCAAAATATTTACTCCTGTTAACCTGTGGGAAAAGACAATGCTTTCCTCTAGCTCTGGAATTAGTTAGAGAACACCAGTATATTTGCTACTTGTTTTTGTTTAACCCTTAAGTAGGAAAGGCAGTAGCTTTAGAGCCTTGAGGTCTCAGATGTGGAACTGGCCTTATGTAATCGGAGATAAATGAGCCCCTTAACTGCTCTGATCTTTAATTTTCTTACCCATAAATGATGGGAGAGCTAGGTGATCCTTTTAGTACTGTTAAACTCTTAAGCAATATGATCTTTGAATTAGTGCTTTCGAAAAACAGGCCTTCTATAATTTTATTTCTATAGTTCTCTTCTGTTTTTATAAGGATTTATACAAATAATACAATATTAATAAGGAATACTTAAAACAAGCTACTGTCACTATTTAAAAATTCTCCAGGTCACTGCTTTCCTTCATTAGGATGAAATGTATACGAACATTTAAGTATTGAGTTTTTATTGATGAGCTTTTAGAAATATATGAAGATTTCTTCTTTTCTGTGGTCCCATCATTTTGTCTTTTCTTACTTTCATTTCCTTTTATTCCTCGAAGGTCTTTCTCTTACATGTATTAGTTTTTTTTAACTTGAAACGGAAGGGAAAATGTCTTTTTGCATTTTGGACACAATGAGAAGAAAAATTTACCTTTCCAGGTAATCCAAATGCAAAGAATCCAAGATCTTCATAAGATGTCACAGCTGTTAAGAGAAATTATAACTTTCACTTTTATACAAAGCTATTTGTGTACAGGTCATCAAGGGAAGAAAGTGATCCCATTATTATAAACTAAGCACTGCATTAGTATCAGGGTTCAGGCCAATGAGGACTAGACACAAGTATGAGAAAAAAGTTCTCCCCAATAACCTTATCCAATGCAATACTAAGAAAGAAATTGGTTGGGGACTTAGCTCATGGGCACTGTGCCTGCATCGCAAGCACAAGGTCCTGAGTTCGATCCCCAGTTCAAAAAAAAAAAAAAAGTAAAAAAGAAAGTTGAGCTTAATTGGGTGTTTTAAGGTCTGTGATCATTTTCTGCATTAAATCTTTCACTTTCACCCTCAAATATAAGCCACAATGCATATGATTTTCACACGTATTTATAGAGTATGTCTTTACATAGTACCGATGTCTCACTCCCTTCTTAAATCAAGGGCTCCTTTTCTCGTTTCTTGAAGGCATCTCCCAAACTGCACATATTAACAATTATTTCCCATTTTTATTAAGTAAAAGCTTGGGGTCATATAAAGTAACCAATGTCAACAAGGAGTTTTTGCCACCAACGAACTACTATCTATCTACCTATTTGTCATGTCTCTACATCTATTTAAGATTAACCTCTGCAGGCTGATCATTGCTAAATTTGTTATTTCTCTGAAATATTCTGAAATGAGAATTTCTCAAATATTTTCAGTATTAATTTTACAAATTTCTAATACTTTAGGTCCACTTGCATTATAGCTGTAGTATGGTCAAAATAAACTAAAAGGAGAAGGAAACTTTTGAAGGTTTATGGTCTATAAACAGAGTCTTCCTAGGACGGGTAGAGTTTTCTAACTCCTAATGTTGTCTAACAGCCACCTGGGATGCATTCATTGGGGTAATGAATGGGGTATTGAATTGAGAGCACCCAGTGCTTCCTATACAGAGCTTGCACACACTCTGCCCAAAGTAAGTTAGCACCAGAAATAGTTTCTAAAAATTGGAAACAGTTAGAGAACATATGAAAGTTGTATCAGACTTTTGGAGACACTCACTTTTCCAGGTGTCTAGGATGATGGTAATGGGTTCATGATGGAGGCACATTTTAATCCTATCATTCATAGGGCACAGACTTCTTTTTTCATCATGAAAGATTATTAACTTACATGCTCATTTCACAGGTTCAAGACATTAAGTCAGAAAAAAGATAAAAATTAAATGGCTCATAAAAGAATCAAATGCTGTCTTCAGCCTATGTAATGTCATGTTTTAATTAAAGGTTAAAAACATATATTTTATACCATAGTTTGAATAGTGCTTACACTATTTTGTGATACCAAGGCATGCAGTGGCAATATCTAGCTTCTACTGGTTAAAAAATGTCCCATCTTTTCTTAGAGCCAGTTTTAATACACACTCTCAAGATGCTCATGCATTTCCTTGCAGCTGCTCCTGATTAAAAAAAAAACTCCTCTGTACTTTCATAATCAAAGACCTCCAGGTATGTAAAAATAAACTTTAAAAAAATATATGGTCTTTACATATTATAAAGTTAGAGAAAAACGGAATACTGAAAAAGTTTTAATAATTAACACCAAAATTTTAATTTTAATTTACTATCAGAGTTAAAAGATTTAGAAACATTTTGGATGATACAGCTGGTTTTTAAATGTATGCATTTATACACTGTTAAACAGTACACAAGTACAATTTAGCTTGAACCTGGAATACTATATACAAATTGATGAGTAGGAACATTCATAATTTAACAGTGAAAGACTTTAATAATAATTTTACAAGGGTAGATTTTGGATGTATTTTTGAATATAAAATTAAAAAGTAATTACTAAAGTGAGAAGTGGCATTTTTACCTCCGATGTGAAATGCCAAAATTCTTTTCTTCAAATAAACTTATTGTAAAGTAAATAGCATCATACAAATTAATAATTATTTTAACCTATAAATCAACATCTGTACTGGGTTTTCCCCTTCTGTCTCTTCCCCTCCCTTCTTCCTTCCTTTCTGATAGGGACTGAATCCAGGGATCACTGAGCTATATATTCCCAGCCCTTTTCTTTTACTTTAGTTTGAGACAGGGTCTTGGTAGATTGCTCAGTCTGGCATCAGATTTTGCGATTCTGTCTCAGCCTCCCAAGTGGCTGAGATACCGGTATGCACCATCTACCAGACTGTTAAAATACGTTCAAATTTGATGACATTTTCTGCAGGTATAATTATTTATACCTAACATTCCTAAGATTTGGCGCACACATTAAATCTGAAAATTGTCTAAATATTAAATTCTAACTAATTTGGCATTAAGAAAGTAATTTTGTTATGTATTATGTGAACCAAATCTTGGAAGTACCTACAATCTCACTAAGGTCTGATTTTAAAGAAACGTCACTGTTCATTTGCAGCATCCCTTTTATATTACAGTTAAATATGCCCATTACTTAAGAAAAAACTATTCTTCCAAGAATTTAAAGCAAGTGGGTTTTTCAGTGCACATATTGGAACATGTTAAATACTTGTCAAATGATCTATTTTGTATCACATTATCAGTCAGTGAATAAGTTATCAAGATAATACTTAGCAAAAAGTTCAACTAGGATTTTAATTATTTGATTTTGTGGTGCTGGGAGATCAAACCCAGGGCCTTGAGTATGCAAGGATCCTACTCTACCGCTGAACTTTTATTTTATTGCCATATTGAGGACTGAACCCCAGGCCTTAGCCATGCTCTGCAACTGAGCTACATTCTCACACCACCTAATCTGCTTTTAAAAATTCTGAGACTTGGTCTCTCTCAGTTACCCTCAAACTTGAGATTCTCTGATCTCAGCCTGTTCAGTAACTGGGATCTACAGGTGTACACCACTGTGCTCAGCTAAATCTGCTTCTATGTTGTATGTATGTTTTGCAACTCTGGAGGTTGAACTCAGGGCCTTTGTAGAAAGCTGTATCCCTGGTTAATTTTTTATTTTGAAGCAAGGTCCGGCTTAGCTGCACAGGCTGAGCTTGGACTTGCAATCATGCTGCCTCAACCTCCCCGGGTGCTGGAATTACAGCCATGCAACACCCACCTGGCTTGTTCCATTTTTAAAGAATAGAAAATAAGTGTAGATTTTTAGTAAGCATAGGCAAAGTACCGATAGATTCTGAAAAGAGTAATTATTTCAGTTATCATACATTTAAATGAATTAAACATTTATTTTTAATTTTTAAAGTTAAAATGTAACACTCTTCTGGAAAATATAATCAAACTAAGAGGGCAATGAAGACCATTTTAACTGCCACTAACTTGTGACATTTTAGCAATCTCAAACTTGCTGTCTGGTTCCACTATTTTTTAATTTTATAAAAATATTCCCTAAATACAACAGAAAGTGAAAAAAGCTTGGACTTTTCCATGGAGACTGAATGCAGTGTTCTAATTCTAGCTTCCTGGTCAGCACGTCTGGCTAATCACTCAGCTTTGTCACTGTCATCAGACGTTTTTTATGTTGCAAAAATTAGAAGCACTTTGCCAAGCTTGAAACAGCAGAATATGAATAATGGCTTCTGGCTTAGCTTTGAGGCTTTACTAAAATAAAATGTGTACACAGGCAGCCAAATGCCTTATTTCCACATCCTCACTTTTTAATGGTTTTTCTGGAGCATCTTAGCATCCAAACCAAAACAACACCATTGAAATACTTTTCAAATTCTATTCTGTCACATGGGCAGTTTCTGAAAGTGCTGGTCACCATATAAACTGGTACTGAGAACTGGAATGCAATTTGAACAGTAGGCCTTTAAAATATTCAAAACATCAGACCCCTGGGAGATTTTTATCTTAGGAAGTAAGAAGAAAATCAGAGAAATCATTAAAGGGAAACATACTTATCACGGTATGACTTACCTCAGAAAAACAAAACTAACCTAAATGCACAACAGCAAAGGGTTACATAAATCATGGCAGGAGAACCTGTTAGGATAATAGCTATCAAAACTGTGTGTATAACAGGAAAACGTTTGTATCATTTTAAATGAAAAACACAAGTAGATTTGAGTAGGAGCTGTAAAGCAAAACACATAAAGAATGGAATGAATTACTCAGAGGGATTATAACTATTTTTTTTCTTCCTTTTTCGGGGGGGGTCAAATACTTTATAATGACAGTGAAGAATGGTGGAACTGTATTTTTAAAAACCATTAAGTTGGGCATGGTGGGGCAGCTCTGTAGGCCGAGGTGGGGGATCACTTGAGTCTAGGCGCTCGAGACCAACCGGAGCAACATAGCAAGAGCCTGGCTCAAAAACCAAACAAACCAGCCGAAGAGTTATAACATTTGAATAGTTCCATTTCCTCTGATAGACTTCTTAGGCTGAAAATTGAATTTTTCCTGGTGTTTAGTAACTGAAATATTAGTCTACTAATCGGAGATTTGGGGGGACTGTCTCACATGATCAGCAGTTAATGAAAGATGTTTTGAGAGAAGCAAAATTAAGATACAGTAATATCCAGTGAAATAAATAGCAAATTCCTACAAAACAGGAATAACATTAATTATAAAGATTATAAAATCAATTCAGCCTTTTACAGGAATTTATATAAGCACCACTTGGCATAATCCACCTTAAATAAATAACTGAGAGCCATCATTAACAATCTATTTTAGGAATTTACTTTTTTATTAAAAAAAAATCAATGCTATGTTCTGGAGGGGCAGAGAGGCTATAAATCTTAATCAAGTAAATTAGGGGAAAATGTCTTCTTTAATGTACCATCAAGGCAAACTTTAGTACTATTTTGGCTAGACCAGGAGTTTGGTCTCCACAGGAATCATATGGAAAGCTACTTCCCATGAAATAGTGGAATATTTCCAGCTAGTTACTCCAGTGTTCTGTCTGCTCTGCACTTTTTCCTCAATGAAATGGGACAATTAATAAACTCTGGTTACAGTAGAGAGCCCAAGTTTCTGTAGCAGCAATATTATCTTTGGATCTGGAAGGAG